TTAATCTTTCATTTTGTGTCCCATCTACATGCATGATATTATATCCAGAAGTATTATTAGTCCAACCCCAATTTTATTAGCTAAACCTTATATTATATATTTTGTTGAATTATTAATCTAATCTCAAGGTCATATTCGCCCAAATAAACATGACCTAAAAAGATACTGCGGTGGATTAAAGAGTTTTGTTGGGCTTTGCTAGACCTGTATGAGTTCCACTCCAATTTGAACCACTTATCTTGTAGAGTTTGCGTAAAATATTAATGGAAAAAAATTTAAGCCTCCGTTTGGGAAGTGGGTTGGCTTTTTGACTTTTTGGCTTTTTTGGCTATTTTAGCCTAGGCTTAAAAGCTTGGTTTGGGAAGGGCTTTTTGGTTTTTTTGAGTTTTTTTGTGAGAGAAGAATGTAATGATTATGGGTTGGATGTGATGTTTTGTTTGTTATGGCTAAAATAGCCTATTTTGTCTTTTGTGGCTAAAATAGCCAAAAAAGCCCAAGAACCAACTTGCCAAACAGATTCTAAATGGTTGAATATTTATAGTTATGGAACTTTTGATATTTGTCTTCTAAAAATTGAACTACAAGTATGATTTTATAAATAGACTTTTTTTAAAATATATATATATGATTATAAATATTAAATTAATTAATTTATTTTTTTATTAATTATCTACACACAAAATTCTATAAAATAAGTAATTCACATAGTAATGAGTCCCACTGGTCTCAATAGCATCCTTCAATCCTCTCCGACTAGAAATAACAAAATAAAAGAAAGTTGGTATGCCAAATTGTTCTATGGAACAAAATGTTGTTTAAATATATAGCAATTAAAATGAATAATTTTTTCTATTAAAAGAAAGAGAAAAAGAAAAAGCATGATCGTGTTCTTTTAATGAACTTATACCTAAATGTCAGTGTACCCACGTGAAAAATTATTGTCCATTACTATTTATGTCAACTAGATCTAGCTTTGGTGAAAGATTTGAAAGATTACAAGTTACAACAGTGCACATTCCCATCTTCTTACGGTGCAGCTCTTTATAGTTTTTTTTTTTTTTTTTTTTTTTTTTAAATTTAAACAAAAAATTGTGGCTACTTAATATGATTTTTGCCAAAAATAAATTAAATAAATTTAAGAATACTTAATTATCTAAAAACTTATGAATAAGTGTTTTTAACTTTCTCTTTTTAATTATCAACTTTCAATTAAAAAAAAAAAAAAAAAACCACCAAACACGCCCTTAGACTTGACCAGAAGGTGATTCTTGCACCCATCATTTAAGAAAGGGTAAATTACACTCACCTCTCTAATGTTTAAAAAAACATGATTAACTATGCAGTTTTGAAATAATTATATTGATATCTCTTGAAATTTTAATTTATATAATAGTTAGATCATTTTTCATTAATAATTTGTTAGTCGTATAAAAAAAATGTTGTCATCTCTAATCTACTAAAATGTGTTTTTTTTTTTTTGTTTATTTCAAAATTTTCCCACCATCTATATTAGTTTTAGTTGATTTAGCCTTACAAAAGAAAAGTCAGTGTAATTATATTAAAAATGTAAAATTAATTATATTTTAAGTTTTTTTAAATTTCAGGATATAAATTGTCCTATAAGAAAAGAATATATATATGTATATATACATGTATAATAGTATGTATGTATTTAGTTGATGATGATCCAAAACTGAAACCTTTAATAATGCAATACAATTAAGTTACATCAGATAGAGACACACAATTCATTAATAAGGAGAAATCATTGTCAACTAGGACACCGTAGTACTTTTTTTAAAATAAAAAATTTCAGATTTTATTTTTTATTTTTTTGGGTTTATATGGTGAACACAGATTATTTACATCTCCTAATTTTATGTTATATACATCATTTCCCCTTAAACATATTCATGTTTGTCCAATTTGACTTAAGAACACCCCTCCAACACAGCCAACTACTGAACTTGGCTTAAATACAATGCTCGTCATAAAATATGCATTTTATATTTAAATGATCTTCAATGCAATTTTGTAGGGTTATTTTTGTCCAAATATTGATAATTTTGATGAAAATTTGAAAAGTAATGTGCTAAGACCATTTAAACAAAAATTGAATCGAAAGAATATTAACGTAATTGAAAACCAACTTAATGTAATTAGAATATTATAAATCAAAATAAAACATAACACATTTTGGGGCACTCACAGTATATTTAATCATGTTAAACTTTGGAAGTTGGTATAGTGTACAGGGTGGAGCCAAAGAAGGCCCAGGCGACTTGCTACTCAATTTTGAATTTTTTTTTTTTGGTATCATATACAAAATATATATTTTTTTCTTAACATGTTTTTTGCTAAGAATTTATTGTATTGTTTACGATAATTAGTTATTTGATACTTTAATAGCATGTTTGATTGGGTGGATTAGAGCATAGGATTGGGATTATTAATCCGTGGGTCCAATTATCTTATGTTTGTTTTAACATTTTGGTTTAGAATTATTAATCCAATGGATAATTAATCGTACAAATTTGTACGATTATTAGTAATGGGGTAGGGGTGGAATTATTAATCCAATGGATATTAATCCAATTGGATAGTGAATACCACACTAATTTAATAGGATTATTAACACTTCACTATTAGTCTTGTGAATCAAGCATGTTGATTGTTTATGTAGTACTCTAAACTAATAGTGTGATGGAAAATCTTATGGATTGAATATAATTAACTCATTATTTTCAAGTAGTTGACAAACTACTTAGGGTGTGTTTGTTTAGACGGACTGGATAAGGAGGGATTGTAATCTATCGGACTATTAGTCCTGGAATACATTGTCTCCGGACTATTTGGTTGGACTGGATTTGTATCTTATGTTTGTTTAGTCATGGGATTAGATGTCTGGATTGGACTATTCTTAGTGAATCTAATGTTTGTTTGAGATATTATGGAGAAGGATAAATACTCAAATGACTATTTTATCATTTTCAATTATTTACTAAGTAATAGCAATATTAAACATAACTTAAATATTTTAATTATTTTTAGCTAGATTAAATAAAATTTTATTTTATTTTATTTTTTGCCAATTAAATAAATTTAAAATTAAATAAAATATAAACAAAATTTTAAAATAAAACATCAATAAAATATCTATAAAAAATTAAATAAATAAAACAAAAATAAAAATTAAATTAAATTATTTTATTTTATTTTATTTTATTTTTAAATTGAGACATTTAAATTTTATTGAATTTTACTAAATATAATACATAATTAAATACCATAGGGCAAAAATGTAATTTTATAGTTAATCCCATGGGATGAATTATCTCATGGTTTCTATCCCCCCCTCCCCCCTCTATGGGATACCATAGTCCCACAAATATGGGACTAATAGTCCAAGTCCGTAACAAAACTTTTGAAACAAACAACGGACTATTAGTCCATTTGGACTGATAGTCTAATCTCATGCCCAATCCTCCCAAAACAAACACCCCTTTAGTGTGATTTGTGATTTTTCATACTTTGTGCATCACATAGGCAACGTCATATGGTATTCTAAGACTATTTTATAATTTCTATTCAAAACACATCATTTATAAGTAATATCATCTCTTTAATATTTTTTGTCAAATAAAAATAAAATAGATTTTATAATGATTTATGCTATAAATGATGTGTTTTTATTTTTTAAAATCAAAAATTTTGATCCATAATTTTGTGCTACAATTACAAACTTACATCCCCATCCCACACCGAGCTATTACATACTATTATAGAATTTCGATTTGTCCATATTAATAATGATTTTTAATTTCTTATGCTTAAATTTAGCACATAAAATTATTATTATCTTTTTAATGTTGATCATGATTTTTTTTTTAAAATAAAAAATTATAATTAATAAGTGCTTTATCTAACTTAATTTTCTAACTCCGCCATTGATGATGTATATCCTTGAAAGGAACATAGCGTATGCAACCTATCATAACAAACATAATATAATCACAACATTTCATAACAAACCCTACATATCGTAATTTTTTCTGCTAAAATGATTCGTGATATTTCTCACTGCAAATGATTCATAATGTTCACAGCACAGCGTTCATAATTATAATTCTGTTTGGTTTCAATTTTTAAAATTCACTTTTTAAAAAATTTTACTTTTTCATTTTTTATATTTTTTTATTTTCACTAATTTTTTTAATATTTTAAGCAATTTTTTTTAATTTTGTAGACACACCTAACATAAATACACTTACAAAGTACAATATTTGTGCAAAAAAATCTTCATAAAATTCACTAAATATCAAAAATATATTTTTTAAAAATACGAATTTCAGTACATTTTTCATATTTTGTGTATTTATTAATGTTTTAAAATATTTTTCAGACATTTTACTAGTTAGATACATCTAAGTAAGGTCTAAAAAAATTTTAAAAAATATTTAAAATTTTAAAAATATTCACTAAAAACAGAAAATATATATATATGAAAAATAAAAAACTCAATTTTTAGAAAATTAAATTCAAAAAATTAAAACCAAACACACTGAATGATTTGCAACTTTCGTTTTGAAGGTATACACTACAAATTGTCTATTTGTAACTTCTAAGTTCTAAACCTCAAAATGACATAAAATTTATTGCCAATTTAAAAAGTGAACAACATAGTTTTAACATCAAACTATATACTAGGTGAGTAAAGGTTAATCATGTAACCAAATTCCAAGTTTCCTTCCTTCGTTCAATGGCTTGTAAAAGCGTATTGAACTAAAATCTATATACATATAGATCAATGCAAACACATGTGTGTGTGTGTGTAATGGGAATCATTTTAAAAGTTAGTTTAACACCCGAAGTACCAAATTGGGAGGTCAAAAAAAAAAAAAAAAAAGTACCAAATTGGGACCCTAAAACCCTAAATCATGAAGCAGGTGGGCCCAAAATGCTATTGTTTATTCATGTTCATCGCCTCTATATTAACCTCCAATCTCCTCTCAACTTTCTCCCATCTCCTCTCAACTCTCTCTCTCTCTCCAAAATACAATGGCAACTACTCTCTTTATTCTATTCCTATTGCCCCTTCTAGCTCCAAACTTCATTTCTTGTTCACCAGTTCAAGATCCTGAGAAAGTAGTACAAGAAGTGCATGAGTATGATACACACATTTTTCACCAACTCAATAGCTAGTAGTACTTTCTAGTTATAACATGCTTCACATACAATACACTAACAATACGAAATGTCTCATGTTTTTGTAAATCATTTTTGTTTTCAGGCGCATCAATGCGTCAAGAAGGAAGTTGGGATTCCTTTCTTGCGGCACAGGCAATCCCATCGATGACTGCTGGCGGTGCGACCCCAATTGGGAAAAAAACCGCCAAAGCCTAGCAGATTGCGCGATAGGGTTTGGCAAACATGCCATTGGCGGTAGGGATGGTAAAATTTACGTGGTCACGGATTCAGGAGATTACGATGCTGTGACCCCGAAACCTGGCACACTTCGGTATGCCGTCATCCAGGAGGAGCCATTGTGGATCATATTCGAGCGTGACATGGTGATCACGCTCAAGGAAGAGCTCATCATGAACTCTTTCAAGACGATCGACGGTCGAGGCGCGAGCGTCCACATTGCTGGTGGGCCCTGCATTACTATACAGTATGTGACCAACATTATCATCCATGGTGTGAATATACATGATTGCAAGCAAGGAGGGAATGCTAATGTGAGGGACTCCCCAAATCACTATGGGTGGAGGACTATATCGGATGGTGATGGGGTATCGATTTTTGGGGGAAGCTATGTTTGGGTGGACCATTGTTCCTTATCTAACTGCAATGATGGACTCATTGATGCCATTCATGGATCTACAGCAATCACCATCTCTAACAACTACATGACCCACCACAACAAGGTCATGCTCTTGGGCCACAGTAATACCTACACACAGGACAAGAATATGCAAGTTACCATAGCCTTTAACCATTTTGGCGAGGGGCTTGTGCAAAGGATGCCAAGGTAAAGAATTAATTGAGATCTAAATACAGAACAGGACAGATATTCACAAGTCTGTGGCCCTTGTGAGTGTCTTTGTATATTTCGTTTTAATGTCCTAATCTTATGCATAAAGTAGCACTATACACAAGAAAATGCGACACAAAACGTTCTGTAGGCCCTAGTAGGCGTCTTTGTCTCATTATGTGCTCATTTTTTTGTGTTTCTAGTCTCTTATGCAATAGAGCAACACTATGCACACATAAATGGAACACAAAACAGGATACACAAACACTCACAAGCCTGTGAACCCTTGTTGGTGTATGTCAAGTTCTTTGCGTAGTTTTTGTGTTTCTAGACCCTTATGCAAAAAATCGACACTATGCACACAAATGGAACACATAGCGAGACACAAGCACTCACGAGTCTATGGGCCCTTGTTAGTGTCTGTGTCCGGTTTTGTGTTCTATTTCTGTGTTTTCTACCACGTGGATAGGCGTTGATTTTCAACTGAGGATTCGATCCTGATGCCTTCTAACATTGCTCACAGATGTAGACATGGATATTTTCATGTGGTGAACAATGACTATACCCATTGGGAAATGTATGCAATTGGTGGCAGTGCAAATCCAACCATCAACAGCCAAGGGAATAGATTTCTGGCTCCCAATGACAGGTTCAGTAAAGAGGTGAGAACCCAAAAATTTTAATTTTTAATTTTAGTAAGCAAACTTAACAAAGTGTTTGTATAATTAGTTCAAATTGTAGGCTAATTTGATTGTCTGATCGTTTGTTTAAGGTTACCAAACGCGAGGAAGCACCAGCGAGTGAATGGAAGAATTGGAACTGGAGATCAGAAGGAGACCTAATGTTAAATGGCGCATTCTTCACAGCAACCGGTGCAGGAGCGTCTTCTAGCTATGCTAGGGCGTCAAGCTTGGGCGCAAGGCCCTCATCGCTCATAAACTCATTGACATCGGGAGCTGGTGCACTCAATTGCAAGAAGGGCTCGCGCTGCTAATCAACGGCTGAGCCACAAATAGGGGGAAAATAATTCATCAAAATTGTATTTATAAAAGCAAGTTTATTAAGTGTTTTTTGGCTTTTTTCCATTTTCCTTTTGCATGATTGTTACAAGCTCAGCCTGTTTCAAAGAGTACCACCATTTGGGGTATTAAGTATTGTGTTAGAAACCCTAATGAGATGAGAAAGAAACAAGAGCTGAAGTGTAGATGAATTCAAATTCCAGTTTACTATTGTTGTGAGATATACATAATCGTTTATAGATGGGATTTTCTTGTGTCATTGTACATCAAAGCAAGCCATGTTACTCCCAAGGAGCCACACTTGTCCACACAAATATGTAAGTCCTATGGCTATTGCAACGTGTACACAAATATATTCAGAAAATTAATGTGTGATTTAGATTTAAACCTTTGTTGAGTATGTGGTTTGATTTTTTAACTTTTTAACTATTTTAACTTGAGGTTAAAAATTCTCGTTTGGGATGGACTTTTTAACTTTAACTTTTGTGAGAGAAAAAATAAAATGATTATGGTTTGAATGTAACATTTTATTTTGTTAATTTTTTAGCCTATTTTATCTTTTGTGACTATTTTAACCTAAAAATTTATGCCAAACATAGCCTTTCATGTGGTGGAGACCTTATCTTGAATAAATCAGAACCAAGAATTTTAAAAAAAAAATTTTGGGTGAGGGGGTTGTATATTAATTCTATATATGAAACATTATTCTTGGCACAATGCCCCAAATAATAACTTTCTTGAACCAAGTAGATTGTCTGGCTAATTATTCAATAATTTCAAACCATCATATAACATAGTCTATAAATGAGTGTGTTTGTTTGGACGACTGAATAAGTGAGGATTGAAATCCACCAAACTGTTAGTCTTCGATACATTGTCCCCAGACTATTTGGTTTGAATGAATTTGTATCTCATATTTGTTTCGTCATGAAATTAAATGTCAAAAAATGATTATTTTGTTGCATAAGTTATGAATCCTATGCTTGTTTGGGATATTATAGAGAAGGATAAATGCTCAAATGACTATTTTACCATTTTCAATTATTTATTAAGTAATAGCAATATTAAACATATCTTTAATATTTTAATTATTTTTAACTAGATTAAATAAAATTTTATTATTTTATTTTATTCAATAAAAATTTATTTTATTTTATTTTTTAAAAATTAAATAAATTAAATATCAATAAAAATATACGTTATTTTTTAATTAAAATTTCAAATAAATTTATTTTAAAAAATAATAATAATTAAATAATGAAATCAAATAAAACATCTATTAAAATTTAAATAATGAAATTAAATAAAATATAAACAAAAATTTAAAATAAAATATCTATAAAAAATTATTTTAAAAAATTAAATAAATAAAACATCAATAAAAATTAAATAAAATTATTTTATTTTTAAATTGAGACATTTAAATTTTGTTAAATTTTACTAAATATAATACATAATTAAATAGTAGATAGTCAAAATGATCATTCACCCCCTTATCCCATATCCCCCTTTATCTCCCCATTTGTGTCTCACCCCCTTCCATGAGACACAATAGTCCTACATATTTGGAACAAATAGTCCGGAGACTATTAGTCCGGAGCAAAATTGAACAACCAAACAACGGACTATTAATCCGGATGGACTATTAGTCCAATCCCGTGGCCTTATCCCTCAAAACAAAAATCACCATAGTGCTCTCAATTAATGAAGTAACTAAGTTACAATGTTGACTCACATTTATTAGGTAGTTCAAAGATAATTATTAAATACCCTTATCATTTGTCATCAATTATACAGACTTAAATGAGTTGGAACACCACATAGAAAATATCAGTGTTTCGAAAATACTGAATAACTACTTGTAATTGAATAACTCACCTATTGTGTCTTGTGATTTCTTTTCCTATTTATTTCGAAAAAATTGCATAAATAATATCATACTCCCATTTTTATTTTATTTTTTTTGATGACTGAGTACTAAATCAACTTACGCGCACATCGAATACGATTGTCGGTAGGACTCACTTGTAAGTCCGAATGCTGGTGGGTACTGAGTAGCTTTTTTCTTCTCTCTCATTGTGTCTATGGGACCCCAAAAACTGAGGGGCTGTTCTTTCACATGGGTTAGTAGGACTAACAAAAAGGGAAAAAGGAAAGTGCCTCTCTCTAAGTACTTGTACTCTCTAGATAGGAGGACCATGTTTGTGTGGACTCTATTGCAAACCTCACACAGAAGCAGCAGCAGCAACAAGACATCAATTGACAAAGTTGCACGCATATGACCCTATTTACAACCCCCCACCCCCACCACCATATCTTGTTTTTAAAGAAGCTGCTCTCTCTCTCTCTCTCTCTCTCAGCATTCAGATATCAGAAACAACCAACGTGGTCTCATTAAAAGCTCATCCCCGCCGACAATCCCCAAATAGACCCATTTATCATCTCACACACACACCAGCTACCCACCCTCCTAACAATAATAACTACTCTCTCTCTCTCTCTCTCTCTCTGCATCCATAAATATCAAATGAAGAAGAGGCACTCTGTTACGTGTGCCCAGGGTATGTACACAGACTATACATAATACTCTTATCTTGTCAGATACCACCTATGTTTAGGAATGGGAACAGAACGGGATGGGCTTATTGTAGTGTTGTCAAGAAATGAAAAATTACATAATACATGAACTAGATTATCATTTCTCTTTCAATTAGTACACATAATGATACATAGCATTATTTCACTCGTTAATTCTTTTACCAACATCATTAATTGAAGGGATTTCACATCAGTGCATATTTGAAAAAAACATTTTTAAATTAGTGATAAACTATATAAACATTAAAATGTAAAACTATAAACTTTCAATTTTTGAAGGTACCTCTCTGACAGGTAATTTCCTTTTAATTAAAAGCACCATGTGAAGTCTGAAAATATCGAATAATTACTCCACTATGAAGTGTGAGGGATGAAACATCTTCACAAGACCAAAACAGAAAATGGAAAAACAAAAAAATAATAATAATATAGAAAAAGAAAATTCATATAAAAAATATTTTTTTAAAAAAAAAATTGTAGATGTAAGTCAATGTATGCCTTCTCATTTTAAAACAAAATAATCTTGAAAATAACTACTATTTACAATGACAATGCCACATTATTCTTGTGATATTTTTAATATAAATTTTTCGAAAAGGGTAAAATTTTCAACCAAAAAAAAAAAATATATCACCTTTAGATACTTACATAAATATCCTACTTTGATGACCAAAATAACTATTTCACTTATTATAACACGACCTCCTATGTTACCTAAAACGTGGCTCATTCTGATACGTGAAACAAGAACGAAAACATAGTACACCACGTGCTCTCAAATGTGATACTTCTAAAGTAATTTTCTTTTAACTATTAGATATCTAATAAAAAAATTCATTTTTGATGCTTTTATCTTGTCAAAACTTAACTCACTTTGGATTTTAATTTATTATATTTGATTTTTTTCCTCCTAAGGTGACATTTTAGAAAATATATTGAAATAAACTTTTGAGATCTTTCAGATAACTAAATTTACAATTTTGAAAAGGAAGTGTACCATGTTTCGCAATTACGTATCAATACGTAATTCACTAAGATATCAACATTTTCTAGTAACATTAGTCAACACAATATCGGTGTAGTGGATCCCACCACTATTATATATATCTCCAAAGAAATGCTTAGTATTAAACAGCTAGATCAAATGGTAAAATATAATGGTAGAAATAGATGGTTATTATAGTGCATCCTAAATCTTATCTTGTTTGTAGGAAAAGTTTTGCAGGACAGAGCAAGCTGTGTCTGCATCATTTCCATTTAGAGAGTGGAAAATGGAGAAGTAGATCCTAAGGGTCCTAAAGCTAATAAGATTACAGCACCTCACCGAGCTCTCTTCACATGCACATCCTATGGAACTACCTACCTTTAACTAACTAATGGATACAACCTCCTACCACCCAGATTCCAAGGACACCCAACAGGCACATATTGGCAAGGATACCGTAACACCCACATAACAGACTATCCCTCTACAAATAAAAATTAGCATATATCATAACACTTATTATATCCACTTGAGTTGTTGTGATAGAAGGGTTTGCCACAGGCCAAACACAATATAAGATACATAATCCCAAGGGATTGGTAATTTCATGACTAACAGTCCCAGAATTAATAATCCTATCTAGTGCAATAAATGAAACAAACATGGCCTGCATGCAAAGTGTAAGCGTGTGTGTGTGCGCGCGCGCAAGAGAGAGAGAGAGGGGTCATGCAGGACGGTAACTAATGGGGTTGGGCAACAAAAACAAGTAAACAATCAATCGTGGAAAATTTGGCACTTCAAATATTCTACATGCCAAGAGAACATCTCAAGCAGAGTAACAACCATAAAGTGATCCATAAAAGTTTGAAAGACAACAAAATTCAGCAACCTGAAAACCACAAGACAGCATCGTACTACAAAATACACCCGTTCTCAAAAGTTAGGCAGATCCCACACAAGGAACATGTAGATTAAGTACTTGAGTCGATATGTGAGCCAATAATATGAGGTGGCCACAATTCTGGGAGAAGCAAAACTTTGACATTAGTACCTGATATTTCAGTATTCAGAAGGTGAGATGACGTCATCAATCTTCAGGATCATCTTCACAACTTGGGTTGCTAGCAATATCTGCTGCTGCTTCCCAATTAGAGTCTCAAAGACATTTTGCTCACGCATGTCATTCGTGCCAACATCATTGCAGTCTATACCACAGCAGTGATTGTTCTCCTGCATATTGAATCCAAAATGATGCTTAGAAAAATTGACAACCATTATTTACTTGGGAGAAAATACCACTCAAACTACATGAGAGAGAGAGAGAGAGAGAGAGCTCAGATCAGACCATCTTAAAAGCAACCACCGTGTCAAAAACTATACCTTGATTTGCTGAGATTTCACTGCAGACAGTGTTTCAATGGGTTGGAGACCACTATTCTCTGCAAGAGCCATGGGGATAGAATCCAGAGCATCAGCAAAAGCCCTGATGGCATACTGCAGACACATACATCAAACAAAAAATAAATAAAATAATAAAAAAGTAGATTAATTCTGAATGCATTAGACAAAAGAGAAAGGAAGATAAAAGAATAACATCTATATAGAGTCGTACCTGTTCAACTCCTGGATATCTATCAGCAGCTGCCTCCGCAGCCAGTGAGCAAGAAATTTCAGCAGCACCACCACCATACACAATAGAATTGTTGCGAATGAGATTCCGAGCCACACATAATGCATCATGGATGCTTCGCTTTGTCTCCTCTATCATCATCTTGTTACCTAATGCATCATCAAACACCAGAGTGTAAGCTGGTCTGAGTATGTCCAACGTCATTGTTTTGAATTGTCTTCAGCATGGTCTTTTCTCTTACTCTTCATCAATTTTTGACCCATGTCATTTTTAGTTCAAATATATTTACTTTCATTTGTGAGAATGGGAAAGCTTGTGGATAGACAACATACCCTCATCATTACATTATGAAGAAATAAGTAAAATGACCAGTCAATTTTAATTCAAAAGGGGATAGAATAACATAGTATAGCTATCCAAGCTCATCCCAAACAAAAGAGAACAAACATGAAATCAAATGGCATAGTCAGAGCATGAAACAACTGTGGCAAAATAAAGCAACACGTGCATTGTTATTTTGAATTGGCAAGTGTTTGCATGAAGGTAGGTGAGGTAACCAGTAATGGACTTCTCAAAAGATGGTAGACATTAAGATGGCACAACACCACCAAAGGTAAAGAGGGAGAGAGTCAAGGCAGCTTTAGAGGGAAAGAAAGAGTGGCAATGAGAGATAATATGGAGAGGATTCTTGGTGTGTTAGGCCATGAAAACCAACTCATTCTTGAGTTGGACAAAGAGGCCTCTCCCTGTCATGTCTAAGACTGGTTGAAGTAAGGTCACCACAAGAGGATGACCCAAGCAACCTTGATGATCCCTCAACTCTAGCCACCAATTCACAAGTGCTTGGTGATGCAGTGTAGGATCATGAGCTGCTCAAGCGTCCCATATGCACCAACCCCAAACGGTTCCTAAGCCATTCTCCCTACAAAGGCATGCTATATAGCATCAGAGAGTAAGTCTTGAGTCCAGCAAAACAGATATGGTCGTGGGTCTATCCAATTAGTGGTGCTGATATGGCAGGTCATGTGGGACCCATATAGCTACATTAAGCTTCCTGCCGGCTGAATCGTCAAACAAGCTTAGACCATGCAATCAAAAAATTTGCCATCGTAAAACCCACATCATGATTCAGTTGCATGTAAACACTTGGATGACATGATTAAAAGAACAACTGATTCACTATCTTCCAGAATAATTAACTATTCTCTCTTTTCTTTCCTTTTTTTTTTTTTTTTTGTGTTTCTTCTTCTTATTCATTTTTTTTTTTTGTTGGGTTATTTCTTTACCTTCTTTCTTGTTTCCTTGTTGCGCAATTCAAAGAACAGTAGAATACTGACTATTGCCCAATCCAGTAGTGAAAAAATTCAAGATAATGCTGTATAAAATCAGAATGTGCAAAATGTTCCACTCTCTTTTCTCTTAAGAACTAGCTATGCAAACAAAAAACAGCTCATTCAAATAGTTTAATTAAATTATGTTGTTCCAATCCTCTGCCAATTGACAATGGCAGAACTCATGATACGCAATCTAAAAATATAAGTATTACAACGCATGGGTAGGGTTCATACTTATAGCATCCATTAAGAGCATACAGTAACTGTATCCAGGCATAAATCAAAGTGATATTTAACTCCAACGAATATAAAAAGCCAAATGAAAATAATTGTGGGAGGAATGAATATAAAAAGCCAAAGGGATTCATCAACATACCACCACGAATGAATATCGTTACAGCCCTTGAATTTGCACAATGTTCAATATAAAGCATGCGATCTTTTGTGGTGCCAAAAGATTTTTCCCGCACCAAACCAGCCTAAATGGGTAAACAAAATACGAGATCAGTATTTCTTGTGCAATGCATCAATGAAATGTAATAAGATAAAACTATAGAATAACGATATCATCAAACTGAAAGTTCAACATGAAACAACAGAGACAACATAGATTATAACTTGCAGGAAATTAATGAACACAAGCTTTTCTAACAAGTACTAAAATAAAGAAATGGCATACTTACTACCAATGAAAAGATAGAAAGCTGACTTCTTACTCGCACCATGTTCGAGATGCAACAAGGCACAGACGCAATACAACCCAAGGTTAATGAATTTGATGACAATAAACATTTGACATAGAATAAATACATAATATTCAAATATATGACAAATAAAAAATATATAAAATTATATGTTTTGCACGTGTCCTCCCACGTGTCATGTCCTGTATTTTTTTTACATTTGTGTGCCCACATGTCCGTGTTGTGTCTCGTGCACATACTCATCTCATATTTTTGGTGATGTAAATGCAGTGGTTGTCTTCGACTCATCGTGCATTTTCAATTAAAATAATAATAAAGAAAACAATTTATTGATAGAAGGCTACACAGAGAGCAGAATACAAGGTGATGAAGTTGTCTATGGGCATAGAAATATCCCATGCTACTAACTTTTGGAATTACATTGTAATTTTATCTTTGGCAACAAGGACTAAAAATCATGCAAATGGAGAAAGATGTGAGGAGGTTAACTTTGGTGATGGACACAAGATTCAAAAGTCATTGTTAGGCCACCCAAATGATTAACCATTTAAATTTAGGGAAACTGTCCGTAGTTCTTAGGGGTTACCCTTCTCATGACCCATGAACTAAAACCACTGTCAGCGGCAAACACAACAATGTTTTTTGTTTGAGGTAGAACTAGCCTCTCAGCAAACTCTTTGGGTGGTAGGTACAAAAATTACCCCGTCTTTGTGTGCACCACATCTTCAGGTGGGCCAAAAACAAAATATGACTAAAGTTCATGACATTAAAAAACCATACAAAATCATGCAAAAAAGATATCTTAATTTACAGAACTAAGATAACGAGGCAGTATTAAAAAAAATACCTTGCCAAGTTTTTCAGGGGTCAACTCTTGGAACCTTGGCACAATCCTTCCACCTACACGACACCAATAGACAATTGTGAGTACAGAAGGTAAATATTAGTAAGAGCACCAGAATAGAAAAGAAGTGATGATTGAAAATACTAATTTGTTGCAAACCTGTAGCTATTGCTATCAGCTCCAACTCCACACCACCAACCCATCGGACAGCAGGCAAGTTCCTATGCATTAACAAATGATTTGCTTCATCATCAAAACCCCATTGGCAGATGACCAAGGTAGCACCAACATCCTACAGTTCAGGTAGAGAAAAGTTGTAAGGAAAATCAAGCCCCTCAATGTATAAAATTGACATAATTATATTGCACTTAACACGTTTCAATAACTACACAAGTGAACCTAGGTAGCATAAGCTCACAAATACAAACAGACGCATACATGTTGATGTAATCATAATAAAGGAACAAAATCAATCAGAACAACAATATATATTATGAATAAAATCCAAAAGGAATATAGTTAATTGTAATCTTTTTTTATGCATTGGTAACAGGGGTTTATGCACACACACACATAAATTGTAATTGAAGAAGGTGTTTTCCCTTTTGCATTGAAGAAGGTTAATACAATAAAAAAAATATATGCACATGCATAACATACACAATTCAAAATATAGGTATGTAAGCTGCCATTCTGTAAAGCTTACACTCCAATCCTACCTTGCATTTTTGAACCATATCATCGAAGTACTGCTTCTCTTGCTGACGTAAATTCTGGAACTTTTCCACAGTATCAATGTCAACCTTATGCTTGGTCTTTGGCTTTGGTGGCTCAAATGGGCAAGTCAAGATTGCAATTTTTGCATCCTCTATTTGCTTCGGCATCTGTGGATGGCTCATATCCTTGTCAACAAGAATTCCATAGATTAGCTCTGTATCCTCCAACTTCCCACCTACTTTCCCCTCCACTTTAATTAGGTCCAAGTTAACATCCTTCCTCTCTAAATCTGCAACTGCCATAACGGCTTTGACAGCAATCTCAGCCAAACTGCGCTTGCATCTATTCACACTGCGACATAAATTTGAAAGGAATTAAAATGCAGTATTGTGAAACACAAAGCACCTTTCCATGATAGATTTACAAAAATTACCCTTTGCCTTAGTTTAATATTTTTTTGGTAATTGTGTTCGTATTTAAACAAAAATATCAAAACAGGTAAAATGACAAAGTGAATATTAAATTATTTGAATTTTAAAACAAAGAATATATGGGACTTCCAAAAAAAAATCATTTGGAAAATTATTTCAATATTACAATCAGATAATTGAAGACAATTGCCTTTTCCTACACTCTCATTTCTGTTAAATTTGATGGTGAGTTTCCACGGTATACAAAGCATAAGACTACTTCTAACAACATTTTGATCGCTTTTAATGTTGCTTATTTCAGTTGATTGAAAAAATTCTAGCACCATGCTAGACGGATCCAAAATAGTTCTGGAAATAGCCATTTGCAATAAAGAGTAAATCTACATAAACATGCAATTTAAAGCACTTTTCCTGAAGTAAAAACTTCACAGCATTCTTGTCCTTACTCTGAGCTTAACCTACTGCATCACTCAGCATTTTCTGTATATAAGAATTAAAAAAAATAAACAGAGTTAAAGGACATGTCATAAATGATTTTATTCAAACACCATGGATATAACTTTGATATTTCATGGACAATAGTCTTCCAAAGGGTGACATATTCCATTCATAGCCTATTGCATTAACAGCCACTTCAACCAAAGAAGAAAATATTCTAAAAAAATAAGCAGCACCATAAATTCTTTCCGAAGATGTCATGATGTTCAAATTAAAAAGTGAACTTTCAGGCACTAATTTCAAGATAAAACATAGGACAAGCATACAAATTCAGGACATGAGGGAGCAAACAAGAAACAAGCAAGCAAATCATTTTTAAATGAGCACAAGGGAAGCATAAAGACCAAATAGAATCATAATAAACTGTTCATAATTCTGTCAAAATAAAGGAACTATAACAGGCCTAAGAATTCTACATAATATCAGTTTAAATAATCATCATAAAGCATAAGGCAGTGGACAACTTTCCAGTTACCACACAATATAATGTAACAAACAAACATAACACAAGCATTGTACTCGATATGTGAGAAAGAAAGAAAAAACAGAAGAGAATGGTAGTGTCATACTTACATCTTAGATGATAAAGTTGTCATGCAAGTTTGAACCAATGGATCTACGTTTGACACACTAAACTCCAACTTATGTGCAATCCGCTCCAAATGTTCAACAGCTATCCTTGAAGCCATTTCATAGCCCTCCGCGATTCGAATAGGATGAATACCACGTTCTAAAAGCCGCTCAGCCTGTTCCAGAAGTGCACCAGCCATCACAACAACTCCTGTTGTTCCATCGCCAATTTCATAGTCTTGACTTCGTGACAATTCGACCATCAACTTTGCAATTTGATTATCAACATCCATTTGCTCCAATATAGTTGCACCATCATTTGCTGACAGCATAGAAATGAAAGGTGAGGGAAGCTCATAACTAAGAGATACAAACTGCTAGTTTGAACAAAATCACTTCTTCTTTTGTAATCGCATGTGTTTGTGTGGTTATTTTGCTCTATTTTAAACTTCTACAAATGCACCATTTCAATAGTAACCAAACCAAACCAAGCCAAGCCCCGTGTCTCACTCAAGTAGGGTTAGATACATGAAATTTTTTTCGCCATTATGCTCTGTCAAAGGATATATGCTCAGTTAAATTAAACAGACTCATAACTTTTTTACGACCATGCCCCATGTTAATTTAGGATTCCCCATTTCAGCAGTAACTGATGACAATAATAAAAAAATAACTCAGTAAATCAGGTGTCCAAAATGAGGGTTTATTCAAAGATATCATCTTCGCAAGCCTGATCAGTTGTCCAAAATGTACATAAAAGTGGGACAAAATGGATTAATTTCAAATTTTAACCACAGGTAAGAGGGTGGTTAATGACGTGCTTAAACCTAATAAAACGGTTGCACATTCCATTTATGGAATTGTAACAGACATCAAAACTTACTGAATTCAATTTTTGCACTCATACCCACAAAACTCAGTGGAACACTTGAACTAACTGTACATCCGCAATAAAACCCATGCCCACTATTATAACCATATTCTCTAACAAAAACCAAAACAACTTAATATACTCAAGTTCACGAATCAAGACACACCTTTTTCGCTTTCCTTACCCTAGATCAACAAATAAACTTCAGATAAACAGATCAAAGACTAAAAAAACCTTAAATTTATTAAATTAAAAAACCCCAATAAAACCCATGCCCACTATTATAACCATATTCTCTAACAAAAACCAAAACAACTTAATATACTCAAGTTCACGAATCAAGACACACCTTTTTCGCTTTCCTTACCCTAGATCAACAAATAAACTTCAGATAAACAGATCAAAGACTAAAAAAACCTTAAGGTCATGTTTGTTTGGACGGACTGGATTAACATTCCCATGACTAATAGTCCTAGGACTACGAATTCGTTGGATTATGTATCCAATCTTAACTAATAGTCAAGTTTAAAATAATTAGTCTGTACTTCAATTGTTTAACCAAACATCGGATTAATAATTTTATTGGATTATTAGTCCAATCCCAAGCTCATGTCCACCCAAACAAACATGACTTAAATGTATTAAATTAAAAAACCCTAGCTGATCATTTGACAAGTTAAAAACAAAGTAAGATGAAACATATGTGTATAGACATACTGATGGTGACTTCGCCGTCGGGGCTCTGGAGCATCTTGTCCATGCCCTTGGGGCCAAGAGAGGTGCGGAGGATGCGAGCGACGGCTTTTCCGGCTGAAATGTTGGCTTTCTGAGCATCGATACCTCTGAGCCTCGTCTTCTGCTCTTGCTCCTTTATTATTATGAACGGTCTCCCAAACTCATCGAACGCTAACGCCATTTCTGCTTCTTCTGCAGATTCGACTAGATCGCCGACTGAGATCTCGAATCGAACTCAACTACTGTTAGAGAGAAAGAGAAGAACGAAAGTAGAATGTTGAGAGTTCACAGACAGTACCAGTAGCACCCGCTGGAGAGTTTGAGAAGTTTACAGCAGCAACGCTGCTTGCTTGTTTGCTAGCCCTAAAACCCTCCCGCTTCTTTTCAGGTCATTTTGGCCCCCGGTTAGACCCGGGTCCTGTTTCTTGGACCCGGACTGTTTCTTTCAGGATTGGGTACTCTCACTTTATTGATTTATTTTTGAAATTTAAAAAAAATAATAATTATAATTAGGGGTGTGCATAATACCGCCAAAACCGCTGAAACCGTCAAAACCGCACCGAACCGCACCGTCAAGGCAAATTCGTTATTATTTGCCAATAGAACCGCCGGTTTTTGGTAAGAAAAATGGCAAATTCTAGTGACACTTTTATCAATCCGCCGGTTTCTATTTTTCTTCCAAACCGCACCGACCCGCACCGCTATTAAATCATGTTTTATAAGATTCTAAAAAAATTTTTTTACTTAAGTTTGCTTGTTGTTCTATACCTTAGAATATAGTATTACATTACTGCTCGAGGGGAATTCAAGATGTCAGTAATCTAAAATAAAGTTGGATTCCTATTCACTTTTCAATCTTTTTTTTTTCTAGCCATGTTGCTACACTTGCTGCATCAGAAGAAAGTTTCGCAAGATGCTTAACATCACGGTATCTCTCGTCTTTTTTTTACTCTTTAATTTAAGTTTTGTAATTTGAATTATATCTTTTATAAACCGCCAATCCGCCCGAACCGCCAAGGCAAATTCGCTATTATTTGCCAACCGAACCGCCGGTTTTTGATAAGGAAAATAAGAAAAATGACAAATTCTAGTGACACTTTTATCAATCCACCACCCGCCATACGGTTTCTATTTTTCTCTCAAACCGTACCGACCCGCACCGTGCACACCCCTAATTATAATTATAAATTTTGACCTTCTAACAAAATAAATCTTAAATTTTTTATTTTGTGAATATAAGTTATAATTTTTTTGATTTATTTTTATCTAAATTATTTATTTATTTTCGTTAACTAATTGACCAAAAAAGGAATATTTTAGCATTAAAAATATTAAATGTCTAAAATACCTTTTTTGGTTTTTGTTAATGGCTAAAAATATCAAAATTTTAGTCAATTTGGTTAACGAAAATAAGTAAATAATTTAGATTGAAAATAAATTAAAAATTTATTATTTAAATTGATAAAATTAAAAACTCAATATTTAGTTTATTATAAGAGTCAAATTCTAGGATTTGTTTTGTAATTTCTCCTAAAATTTATTAAATACTAACAAGTGGTACATATGATGTGTGTGCAGTTCAAATAAGTAAAAATAAAAATAATTAATTAATTATTGTTCTTAATGAAACCCAAAAATTCTTAGGTTCAAACCTTATCTACCTCTATTTATACCTTTTTATTTCATGTTAGAAAAGCTGCTGCCACATAGCATGGCGTGAAGATTTGGACACCAAGTCTAATTTCACTTAATAATAGTAACTATATTAGTAGGTGGCACACATGATACGTAATTCATATACGTATGCAATTCAAATAAATAATAATAAAACTAATATCATAATATGCATGTTATGTAAGTGGTAAGAGTGCTCAGCTTTCACTTAATAATTCTATATAGATATAGATAGATAGATAATAATAATGATAATAATAATATAATATAATATTAGGGGTGGGCGCGGGTCGGTTGCGGCCACGAAATCCAAAATGCGGCGGATCGGTTCGGTTCGGTCGGTTTTGGCGGATCGGTATATCCGCTGCTCACCCCTATATAATATAGACAGATAGATATTTATAGTTTATTTTAATTTGGGTGTCTATACCAGACTATTTGGTGCAACTTCTGTTTATAATTTATTAAACAGAAATGACTTAAATAAGCTAAAAAAAAATTTGATTACTTAAAAATTGGGAAGGAATGTTTTTAACTTCTGTGTTTTGATTATCAAAGGAAAGCTTCACTAAACAAAGCTACATCATTCAATCATCCCATTTTGATAAAATTTTGACACTATGACGGTGTTTGGCAACAATTTTTTTTGGGTTTTTTTTTATTTTTTTCACTAAAAGACAATTTTTTTGTAAAACCAAAAAAAAAAAAAACAAATCTAAACAAAATATCATATCAAACCCTATAATCATTTCACTTTTTCTCTCACAAACATCACATCCAATCACAAAAAAACCCAACTATCTTCCTAAACGCTAAAAAAAATTTCTCCAATAATATCCTACAACTAAAAAACCTACATAAAAACCCACTTCTCAAACACCCACTATAATTTGTTACAAGACACGCGTAAGGATTCTCACAGCTTTTCTTTAATGGAGCAGGGTAGGGTCATCTGCCCCATTAAAGTAGTGAGTGAAAGAGAAGTCTTACTACTGACAGACGCAAATAATTACAAACACAAATATTTACAGTAGTTGTTGTCGTTTCTTAGCATGAATTTTTCTGATCGTTGAAGAGAGGCTTTATCTCCTACAGACTTTGTCCATTTCTTCTGAATATCTTGACACCAGTAATTGATGCGGACGTGTGGATGCTTGGATATACCGTCAAAGCTAATAGAAAATTTCAAGGGTCAAAAAGTCTATGAAGCTAAAAAGGCAGAATAAATGAAGTGTAAGTCTCAAGATTTCCAAGATTTCTAAGAAGTGTAATTATAGAGTACAATGTTTTTTTTTTTTACCCATACATTCTATCTGAAAGATCTAACCAAAAAGTCAAAAAGTTATTAAAAAAACCTGTTCCCAAACAAGGCCTAAAAAACTTAATTTAGGAAGGACTTTTGACTTTTTTGACTTTTTTTTGTAAGAAAAATAATATAATGATTATAAATTAAATATGATATTTTATCTTATTAAGGTAAAAAATTTATTTTATTTTTTATAACTATTTTAGCCAAAAAATTCTCAATCCCAACTTCCCAAACATTTGCCAAATATGTACAAACCCCTCTAGATTCATCAAATATGTACTCACCCTTTACTTCCTGCGAAGGCCCTATTTGGCTTCCCTATAATATGTCCTTATGTAGGGGTGGGAAACGATTTATCCGAACCGCCCAACCCACCTAACCCGCATATAAATGGGCGATTTCGTAAACATAATGTGAGCGGATGCAGTTTGAAATATGACAAATTTGTAGGTCGCGGTTTAAACCCACAACCCGCAAAAACCGCTCGCACTTTAATAATTATTATTATTATTATTATTTTTTTATATACCAACCTTATAACTTTTACATGAACACTATTATATTCTCTATGATATTAGGATCCTTATTTTTAAGTATTTCTCAACTTTCTTAATGCCGTAGAATTATCAAGTCCTAAACTTGGTTTCTCATATGATTTTCATTGGTGATTCATCCACTTTTTCCTAATAAAATTTTCTTTCTAATGGTCGATGGAACTTATAGTTTGATTATTGATTCCTGAACTGGCAATTCTAATTGAGTACAACCTTCAATGCATTGATATACATTTTTTTCATGGCAAAAATGCTAGTGTAGAGTCTCTTTGTTTTGGGTACTTTCATTTAATGCATTGATATTCAATTTTTATTTGTAAACTCATCAAAAAATTGTTATCACAAATATATAAAATGAATTTGATGCCTAAATTCGCTGGGAAAAAAAACTCGAAAATTAATTTTTAAAGAAAAAAGGTGTAAACCGCAAATCGCCCGCAACCGCTCGCACATTTGCAAACCCTATTCGCACAAACCGCAAACCGCATTGCGGGCGGTTGCGGGTTGATTTTTTCCCAAACCGCATAGATGCGGGCGGGTCAAAACCGAACCGCAAACCGCACAAAACCGATCCGCGAACACCTCTATCACAAACATCACATCCAACCACAAAAAAACCCAACTATCTTCCTAAACGCTAAAAAAAATTTCTCCAATAATATCCTACAACTAAAAAACCTACATAAAACCCAGTTCCCAAACACCCACTATAATTTGTTACAAGACACGCGTAAGGATTCTCACAGCTTTTCTTTAATGGAGCAGGGTAGGGTCATCTGCCCTATTAAAGTAGTGAGTGAAAGAGAAGTCTTACTACTGACAGACGCAAATAATTACAGACACAAATATTTACAGTAGCTGTTGTCGTTTCTTGGCATGAATTTTTCTGATCGTTGAAGAGAGGCTTTATCTCCTACAGACTTTGTCCATTTCTTCTGAATATCTTGACGCCAATAATTGATGCGGACGTATGGATGCTTGGATATACCTTCAAAGCTAATAGAAAATTTCAAGGGTCAAAAAGTCTATGAAGCTAAAAAGGCAGAATAAATGAAGTTTAAGTCTCAAGATTTCCAAGATTTCTAAGAAGTGTAATTATAAAGTACAATGTTTTTTTTTTTTACCCATACATTCTATCTGAAAGATCTTCAAGATCTGCTGTTGAGAGTTGATCGTAAAAATCATCTCCATTATCTAGTTCATTTTCCCATTGGTTATCTTCTTCTCCCATTACTGGTGAATCATGAGGGACACTATGCTGATAGTTGGGGTACTGGCTTTCATTTACAAATGTTTCTTTGCTGAAGGGAAAACCTGGAATGGCTAAATTGCAGTATATCTTCTGATTTCTATCTTCACAGAGAAGATTACCATAGTTTCCATTATATGCTAATAGAGTACTACTAGCAAATTTCCTCCATTTATTGAGTTAATCTCTGAATGAAAATTTTCTGCATGGCCAGGGTCTCCGATTGAGAAGTCCTGGGTATCTTGGAAATGTCGAAGTTCCTCTGAGGTACATTTTATGCTTAGTTAGAATGCACATTATTCCTTTCCATTCTGGTAGCTTGCTATCAATTAATACTTCTACAAATGAATGATACTCTGCCATTACACAAAGTACTGAATAAGCAAGTTTATTTCCAAAATTATCTGTCTGATCTGGATTTGAAAAAATTATTCTAGAAACAAAGGCGTAATCTAACAATTGGGTAGCTGTTAGATGATGAGTTTTGCCTTCAATTTCTATCTCCAATGGCTCAAAAGTTACTAGATTTAATTAGCAAAGGCAGATGCTAAAATCTAGATTACACTAGCATCTATCAAAATATTTTGGCCTATCTATACATCTCTCTTTTTGTAAACAGGGTTGTTCTTC